GGTCAGGGGTCCCTTTACCTTTACCATTGTGTGTACTCTGCTTTCCAAGTCGGCAGTGGAAGTGTACCGGATGCAGAGTAAACGAGAATGTGTGTACACAGCCCCCATGGCCCAATGTTGTGTTGCTGCCTGAGCTCCAAAGAGGATGATTGTTACATCGCTAGACTGAGAGCTCTGAGCCTCCTAAATACTACGTGTGGGACGTTTGTACGGGAAGAACATGGTTTGATAATCAGAGAATGAATAGCACACTCTGGTGCTAATGAGCTTTACCGGAGCCTCGCGATGCAGATAATAGGACTGTAAACTAGCGGAGAGAATGCCCACAGAATACCTGGAAGATGCTCGAAAGCTGGAACTGAGTCAGCAGGATGTAATGGCTGAGAAATGGCAATTTTGGAATGCATATATGTGGCATGGTTTTCAAGGAGGGTAGAAAAAGAGGGGGAGAAGAAGAGAGAGGGAGGGGGGAGAGGCAGGGCGAGAGGGGGCATGATTCTACAAAGGACTGTTTAGGTATCCCAGACAAGATCTGGCTATACAGTGGTACCTCGGGTTACATACGCTTCAGGTTACATACTCCGCTAACCCAGAAATAGCGCTTCAGGTTAAGAACTTTGCTTCAGGTTGAGAACAGAAATTGTGCTCCAGCGGCGCAGCAGCAGCAGCAGCGGGAGGCCCCATTAGCTAAAGTGGTGCTTCAGGTTAAGAACAGTTTCAGGTTAAGAACGGACCTCCGGAACGAATTAAGTACTTAACCCGAGGTACCACTGTATAACTGCCCCCCGCCAATGTTCTCTAGGACTCTGTGGGGCTGCCAGTGGGCTTGTGACCCTGCCAGGGTTGTTTGATAGACTGGCTGGAGGAACTGATGTCCCTTTGGAGTTGCAAAATGCAGAATATAAGACTTCAGCAATATGCAATAGGAAACATGCTTGGATAACAGCCCTTGAGATGGAGGTCTTGTATAAGCAGGTCTCTCTTTTCTGATGTGAAATGTTGATGGTATACTTTCTTCAGTAGGAACAACACACACACACACACACACACACACACACACACACACACACTTCCCCCTACCTCTGAGTACACAACTGTGGTGTTTCCTGCATCTGAGATGCATCAGCCAAGTTTGGTGAATCTGAGTGTGCATCAAAACACTATGTCTCTTCAAGGCAACGTTCCCAACTGCACCTGCTGGCAAATCAGATTGGGTAACCTTGGGTTTGCTCTTGACATTTCTCACATCCTCCTGTAGGGAGCAGAAGGGCGACAGGCAAAACAACCACAGGAACAGCCCCCTTTTATGGGTCTCCTGCCACAGTTCCTCCCGTCCACGGCCTTCCATGCATCCGGCAGATTTCTGATTGTTCTTGCAGCTAAGAAAGCCTTGAAACACTTGCCAGGGGGGAAAGAGGGTGGGGGGAATTGTATCTGAAAGCCATCTTCCTACCATTGCTCCAGCCACTTCCTTCCCTTTCCATGTCTCCTTCCCAGTCTGTTAGGCAAAAGTAAAGGGACCCCTGACCATTAGGTCCAGTCGCGGACGACTCTGGGGTTGCGGCGCTCATCTCGTTTTACTGGCTTCCAGGTCATGTGGCCAGCATGACTAAGCCACTTCTGGCGAACCAGAGCAGCGCACGGAAACGCCGTTTACCTTCCCGCCAGAGAAGTACCTATTTATCTACTTGCACTTTGACGTGCTTTTGAACTATTAGGTTGGCAGGAGCAGGGACCGAACAACGGGAGCTCACCCCGTCGCGGGGATTCGAACCGCCGACCTTCTGATCGGCAAGGTTTAGACCACAGCACCACCTTTGGAGTTATGTACACACAGTTGCCATGATTTGCCCAACCGGAATAGCCAGCACAAATTACAGCTCCCATTTTTGTCACCCAACCTGGCGAGTCCAATCCATGCAAACTGGTGCCTTAGGACAATCCTGGCAGGGTTGTCAGACCACCAGCCGCCCCATGTACCTCTGGGTGCGGAGGAGGGGGCATAGCTGTCACCTTTCCCTTTTCTTGCAAGGAATCCTATTTGGAATAAGGGAATTTTCCATTTAAAAAGGGAAACGGTGACAGCTATTGGGGGGGGCACTGGCTGCACCAACCTGCTCGTAATAAGAGTGCCACAGGTCATCAATCCGCATTTGAACTTTTTGGAAGAAGGGTTTATAATCAGAGAATCAGAGAATTGGGAGGGAACCTGAGGGTCATCTAGTCCAACCCCCTGCAATGCAGGAATCTCAGCTGAAGCGTCCATGGCAGAAGACCATCCAACCTCTGCTTAAAAACCTCCAAGGAAGGAGAGCCCACAACCTCCCGAGGGAGACAGCTTCACTGTGCAACAGCTCTTATTGTCAGAGGGTTCTTCCTCATGTTTAGTTAGAAGCTCCTTTCTTATAACTTGAAGCCATGAGTTCGAATCCTACCTTCCAGAGCAGGAGAAAACAAGCTTGCTCCCTCTTCCATGTGACACAGGCCTTCAGATATCTGACGGTGGCTACCCTATCTCCTCACAGTCCCCTCTTTAGCAGGCTAACCACACCCAACTCCTTCAACCGTTCCTCATAAGGCTTGGCTCCAAGGCACTTTCGCATCTTGGCCGCCCACCTCTGAGCACGTTCCAGCTTGTCGAAGAACAGAGCCAAAAGCCAAATATGATATTGAGAAGCTAAGCTGCTTAAAGCAAGCAGTGAAAGGATTAAGGGCACCCAAAGGAGAGGCTCAGATTGAGCCTTGAGATCTCAATGACTCAGTGTGGGAGGAGACATTCTGTTGCCTGAGGTAAAGGGCAAGATGGCGGCCCTTCCCATTCCATCTCAATCCAACACGGGTGATGGGACAGCGCCTTACACTGACGCATGGGAGCCTAGGAAGCCGCCTTAAGACCTTGGGCCTGGCACTGCCTCTCAGCCCAGCCTACTCGAACCCGGTTCACCAGATTACGAGTCCACTGCTCTTAACCACTATACCACACTGGCTCTCACTTTCTTCTTAAAGCTTCTCCTTTTTTATCTCCATGGAGTTTTCTTGGCAAAATACTGGAGTGGATTGCCAGTTCCTTCTCCAGGTGGATCACATTTAGTCTAAACTTTCGGCTAGGAACTGTCTGTCTTGGGTGGCCCTGCACGGCATGGCTCATAGCTTCTCTGAGTTATTCAAGCCCCTTCGCCACGACAAGGCAGTGATCCATGAAGGGGTATAGAAGCACAGAATCACAGAATCATGAGTGGGAAGGGACCCCGAAGGTCACCAATCCAGGGGTCAGCAACCTTTTTCAGCCGTGGGCCAGTCCATCATCCCTCAGACCATGTGATGGGGCGGACTATATTTGGGGGGGGGGGGGATGAAGGAATTCCTATGCCCCACAAATAACTCAGAGATGCATTTTAAATAAAAGCACACATTCTGCTCATGTAAAAATACCAGGCAGGCCCCACAAATAACCCAGAGATGCATTTTAAATAAAAGGACACATTCTACTCATGTAAAAACACACTGATTCCTGGACTGTCCACAGGCCAGATTGAGAAGGCCTACCCCTGATCTACTCCAACCCCCTGCAACGCAGGAATCTCAACTAAAGCATCCATGACAGATGGACATCCATATTCTGCTTAAAATTCCCCAGGGAAGGAGAGTCCACAACCTCCTGAGGGAGTCTATTACACTATCAAATGGCTCTTACTGTCAGAAAGCTTTTCCGTCTCTCTAGTCGGAATCTCCTTTCCTGCAACTTGAAGCCACTGGTTCGAGTCCTACCCTCCAGAGCAGGCGAAACGAGCTTGCTCCACCCTCCATGTCACAGCCCTTCAAATATCTGAAGATGGCTATCATATCTCCTCTCAGTCTCCTCCTTTCCAGGCTAAACATACCCAGCTCCTTCAACCGTTCCTCATAAGGCTCAGCTTCCAGACCCTTAAGCATCCCAGTTGCTCTCCTCTGCACACCTCCCAACTTGTCAACATCCTTTTCAAATCGTGGTGCACAGTACTCCAGGTGTGGTCTGTCCTGTAGCCTTCTTAGACTTTACCGATTGGTAGGGTGAGCATTGCTCCCAGAGAGGGAGGAAGGAGTCAAAAGGCACTGAGGTTGATTCCGAGAAAGAGTTCTTTATTTCTGCTCTCTGGAGTAGCAGAAAGGCACTTGCATGGTAAGTTCACAGCAAGTCCGAAGAAAGAGAAATTTCACACAGTATATATATCCTCCAGGCACCCTCTCCCCCCTTCCCCAGGAATCCAGCCTCGTACGTTCATACACGTAAGTTGAACTGACAAGACCATCCATTAAGCGTCACGGACTGATAAAGGAGAGGGCTTTGTTTATACAGCTGGGTTCCTGTTCTACATTGGCTCAAGTGCTCAAGTTAATGCTTTTTAGCTAATGGACCCTTGGAGAAGGAAAAATGGGGATTTTGGGGCCCGTTTCAGACTGACTGCACAGTCAGGCGTTAGATTTGGGAAACCCATTCCTTCAGTCCAAAGCTGATGGACTTAGCTTTGGTACCTTTCGGGTTTTCTTTAGGTAACTATCTCCAGAGACTTGGGCAGTAATTGCTTTGGCTTCTCTTGAAGCATCGCAATTGTGACACAGTCTGTTTGCTGCTCAGGAATGCATTTGATTTATTGGACCAAGCCGAGTGTGAACTTCATATTAATGTGTGGCTAATCTTCTCAAATCTGTCCAATTAGTGACTCACCCAGGATAGAGAAGCCTTTTTAAGAACTGCTGTGCACTGATCTTCTGCATTTCCTGCTTTAATCCCTGAACAATTTCCAATTGCACATTAGATTCATGGAGCACCAAGGGCTGGAATACATTCTGAGGTGTGTTAAGTACCGATGGTTGAATTAGACAACCCACACAAGTCAGGAGCAGGTGACAGTAGACGGAGACCAGTTGAACCGGCACAAACCTCCCTGTGGATTATTGCAAAAGATCAATCAATCACTCCACCCCAAACTGAATTAGCAGCCACCTACCAGTTCTGGGAAGGAAAGGAGAAGCTGCGTACATAAAGGCACCTGAGATTCTTAGACCACTGGAACATCACCAGGAGAAGGCATCCAAGACAGAATAAACATCGCCACCTTGTAAGTTAGAACTTCTTTGTTCGCCGGTTGAAAAGAGGGGAAGAAGACTTTAGAGGTGAACGTGATTTGCTCCGGAAGCATTAGGAATCCTGCAGGTCCAATAGGATGATGATTGCCTGGAGAGAGAAAGGGAAATGGGGGAAAATCATTACAGGGCTGCACCGATTGGTGGTGCAGGATGGTGGAAGCCTACCCTGTTCCTCGAGCAGTAGGAAAACGGACTGCTAGACAGATGGGGTTGTTTTTAGAAAGAAGATTCCACCTAAACATTAGGAAGAACTTCCTGACAGTAAGAGCTGTTCTACAGTGGAATTTGCTGCCAAGGAGTGTGGTGGAGTCTCCTTCTTTGGAGGTCTTTAAGCAGAGGCTTGACAACCATATGTCAGGAGTGCTCTGATGGTGTTTCCTGCTTGGCAGGGGGTTGGACTCGATGGCCCTTGTGGTCTCTTCCAACTCTTCTATGATTCTATGATTCTATAATGTCTAATTATGGGTGCTCACGGTTTAATCTTTGTGTAACTGTCTTTGATACTTTCCAAGCCGCTTAGAAGCCTGTTTAGGAATTAAGCAGTACAGTGGTACCTCGGGTTACATACGCTTCAGGTTACATATGCTTCGGGTTACATACGCTTCATGTAACAGACTCCGCTAACCCAGAAATAGTACCTCGGGTTAAGAACTTTGCTTCAGGATGAGAACAGAAATCGTGCGGCAGCAGCACGGCAGCAGCAGCAGCTAAAGTGGTGCTTCAGGTTAAGAACAGTTTCAGCTTAAGAACAGACCTCCAGGACAAATTAAGTTCTTAACCCAAGGTACCACTGCAAATAAATAGCTAACCAAGCAAGCAACATAAAACTGGGTTTTAATTAATTAAAGAGGATAGGGAGACAAATGAAATTTATTTGGAACGAGAAACAGCGTGGAGGAAGAGGTTCTTCCCAAATCAGCTGGTCTAGGAACACAGGCGATTTTGCCTTCCAAAACTTAGGGAAGTTGGATTGGCTCGCTTGCCAGAGTCATCCATTTCTGGCCTCTAGCGCTTCCATTCTGGTGGCTGTAATGCAATTAATAAAACCACTATTACTGGTGAACAGTAGTTTTATTAATCCCATGTGGGTAATTCTGGTTATTTTTTTTACAACAAAATAAATATGAAAGTCATCGTTAAATGTATTAAATTTGTTCAGTTATCATGGGCAGCATTCAACTACTTTTATTATTTTTGCTCTAGAATTATCACTAGTGCAATGAGATTTTGAACCTCCCCTACCCCAAATCTTCCCCAGAGAGTTGTGGGGACTGGATATGAGGAGAGCATTTCATTGTGCAAAGAGAAATCCTTGTGCAAGTCTCACCTTAGTGCTACATTGAATACAATGCAATGCTTCTTAGCTCCTCTTTAACCTCGATTAATAAATAACATCAGTGTGGACTTGTGAAATTGGGGTGTTTAGTGGAGCCTCAGCTTAATTGGACTGAAGTAATTTTCCTTCATAAAAGAACAGTCGGATGTTGTAAACAGTGGAGACTCTTCCATTACAGCTTCCGGGGCACATATCTGTCAATCAGAATATCGAGAAATGTTTTTAATGCTGCAAAAAAAAAGAAATATCAAAGCCACACTTCCCCACCCAGCACACATTTTATACTTCTATGAATCTGCAGAGGCTTGTGGAGGCATTTTTGTCAGTCTTCTGTTTCCTGGCCGGTCAGCTGTCTGGCACCACTCAGCCAACCCTAACCCAGAAATATGGCCAGGGCCGGCCTGTCCATAGGGCAGATGGAGGAAGCTGCCTCAGGCGGCAGAATCCAAGGAGTGTCTGTGCATGTGTGGCCAACGCTGAAGAAGCAAGGAGAGGCGGCCGAGATCATCCTGGGCTCCAGCAGGATCTCACAGGAAAAAACATGTGACTGCTATTTGAATATTAGGATTATTTAGTATTAAAAGGACTGCTGGCTTTTTACCCAGTGCTGACCACACTGCTGCTCTCACTAATTTTTTTTTGAGGAGTATTTAGTAGCCACTATATCAGATAATGGAGGAAAGCCTTGAAAGCACAACACCATGAAGATGTTCAGAGCTGTTTCCTCCTCATAATTTTTTGTTTGTACTAGTAACCAGAGAAGCAGGGGGGGGGGGATGTTTCCTACTCTGAGGAACTTTTTGTTTTTTTTAATACCGTATTGACCTGAATATAAGCCTCACCCCCCCCCCCAATTCCAACTGTGAAAAGTTAAAGTGTGGCTTAAATTCGGTACCTTACAAAAACTGACTTTTATGATCTCGCTGCTGGAACAGACATACAGTAAAACGGAACAGGTGTGAATGCCTGCAGAATTTTAAGGGAACGTCTTATATTTGGGTATTGTCTTTTTTTCTTTTTTCCCCTTGAATTTTAAAGGTGTGGCTTATATTCGGGCCAATACGGTATTTGTGGTCGTGTGTGTGTGTGTGTGTGTGTGTGTGTGTGAGAGAGAGAGAGAGAGAGAGAGAGAGGGAGCAAGCAAGCATGGACTCTGTGTGTGTGTGTGTGTGTGTGTGTGTGTGTGTCCTTCTGCAATAAATATTTATAGATTTTTCTGAATAATTTTGCATTTATTTTTGTGAATTAAATTGGGAGGAGATACAGTGGATGGCTTGTGAAGCAACAAACTCTGTGCTCAGGTGTCCCTGCCTTCACCCATTAAAAGCTGCATCAGCAGCTGGGTGGAGCCGGGCAAGGCAGGGCACCTCGATCTGAGTGACATGCAATTCCAGAGTATTTCCCAAATAGGTGTGTGAATTTGCTTTCAAGAAGCCCCTTCCTTAGCTCGGCCCAATCCTGCCATGGTTGTGAGCACACCAGGAGCCCCATGTGCTTGTCTGTCCTTTGTCAAGCGCTCCTGTACGGTCCCTGTGCACAAAATGTTCTTGTATTTTTAGGGGATATTTTACTATCACTGAAGCTAGGGGAGAAAAACCTCAGAAGCAAAGTTACTTTGATCAGGTAGACATCTGTGCTGGAAGGCAAGTCAATACAGCATGCAAAGGGGATGGTGACTGTAAGGTGAACAAGAACAACAGTCTACTGAACTCAGCTACATTAGTGGAAAAAAACAAAACTTTGAATGCGTTATAAACATGCAACACCAGATGGTGCTAGAGAGCAAAAAAAAAATCTTTGTGATTTTACATAGCGCTTTTTTCCCTTTTGTCATAATGATTTAATTTCTGACTTATTTATAGCAGGGTTTTATCCTGTGTGTAGATCCACACTAAATGTACTAAATTTATATATCCTGCCCTTCCTCCCAATGGAGGCCAATGGCATGGCAAACAACGAGTGACAAAACAGCAAATACATCTTAGAAACAAAATTTTAAAAACCCCAAAAGGCAATTCTGTTTCAGATGCAGACTATTAAAGATAACAAGTGAAGCCTTTTTCTGGCATGGAGACAAAGAGATGGAGGAACTGTTTGTCGGTTTAATTTCTGCATGTTGGCCTACTGTTATAAATGTAAAAGAGCAAGGCCAGTAAAAACTGTGGGAAATCCTATGCAGAAAGGAGGATGCTTACCCTGGTTATATCTTGGAGCCGATCTGTGACTTATTTCTTCCCAATGTCTACCTGCAGGTAAAGGTGAACCCAGCAAGCTGCCAAGATGTGCAACTTGAATTTTGTTTGGACCATAGTGAAATGTATGTTTAATATCATAAAGTGGATTTGTAACAAGGCCAAAGGTAAGAGGAGTGGGCTGATGCAGGGGGTCTTATCATTCACCCACCTTCCCCAAGGCTGTATCCTTTTCTGTACTACAAAACCCATCAGCTGCAGCCAGCACGGCCATGAGAGCTGGGGCTGGTGGAAGCTGTAGTATGTAACAGCTGAAGGGTACCAGGTTGGGTAAGGTTCCAGCGCATTCAGAGTCTGATCCTGATACACTTCTCTTAAAAACATACAGAATACCCTCTCTGAATGCTTATTTGCCATGCTTAAGACTTCCCTGATTCTGTTGTTTAACCTTCTCTCAAAAACCTCATATTTTACCTGGTGCTTAGTTTTAAATTACTTTTTAAAAAATTATACAGTATTATTTTTACCTATTTCTGGAAACTGCCTCGCGAGGACCTGGTCCTAGCAGACAGGATAGAAACATTTTGGATAAACAAATAAAATTATACAGTGGTACCTCGGGTTACAGACGCTTCAGGTTACAGACTCCACTAACCCAGAAATAGTACCTTGGGTTAAGAACTTTACCTCAGGATGAGAACAGAAATCGAGCGGTGGTGGTGGGAGGCCCCATTAGTTAAAGTGGCACCTCAGGTTAAGAACAGTTTCAGGTTAAGAACAGACCTCCAGAACAAATTAAGTTCTTAACCCGAGGTACCACTGCAGAGAAGTCAGGGAGGATGGGGGGGAGGGAATTAACTTAGAAATAAATAAAAAAAGAAAGAGCTTGTTTCAGTGGGCATTTTACCTACAAGCACACTGGGCTTCGATAAGTTATTTCCCAACACTTTTTATTGAAGGGGTGGGGCAGATCTTTGCCAATTAAATATAATGAAGACAAACATGATACTCTGAGCTAAGACATTTAAATTAAACACCAATAAGATAAGGGCACCCAAAGCAGAGGCTCAGATAAAGATCTTGGTGACTGGGTGGCCCTGGCACAGGAGAAGGGACAATGTCATTAGAAACATAGGGAGCTCACAGTATTGCCCACACGGACTGGCAGTAGCTGTCCAGGGTATCAGGCAGGGACCATTCCCAGCTCTACCTGCAGATGCTGGGGACTGAACCTAGGACTTTCTGCATACAAAGCAGATACTCTAGCCCTGAGCCACAGTATGGTCTCTCCACATTTTGCTGCCTGAGGACAAGATGCCTCCTGCTCCCATCTTCCACTGCCCTTGAGGGCAAACAGGCTACAGTGGTACCTTGGTTCTCAAACTTAATCCGTTCCGGAAGTCCGTTCCAAAACCAAAGCGTTCCAAAACCAAGGCGCGCTTTCCCATAGAAAGTAATGTAAAACGGATTAATCCGTCCCAGACTTTTAAAAACAACCCCCCAAAAAAACCCAGCAATTTAACCTGAATTTTACAATCTAATCCATAAAATGCAAGCAATAATCAATGTGCTGTACTATAAAATCAATAAGACAGTATTGTTGATTGATAAAAATTAAAATTAATCTTTTTTCTTACCTGCATTGTTGATAGTCATTGTTTGGATTGGGGAGTGGGGCTTCTATCCATTTCTGCAGTCACACAAACAATCATTCAGTAGCTGAACTGGGTTCCACACAGTTACAAAAACAAATTAACCGAAAAAGCCTCAAAAACGAAAACGCAAAATAAATAGCAAAAACAAAAGCGCCAGACTTAATCCATTCCAGAAGTCCGTTTGACTTCTGAAATGTTTGAAAACACAAGGTGCAGCTTCTGATTGGTGCAGGCGCCCTGGAAACAATAGCCAGCAGTTGTATCGGACGTTCGGCTTCTGAAAAACGTTTGAAAACCAGAACACTTACTTCCGGGTTTTCAGCGTTTGGGAACTAAGGCGTTTGAGAACTAAGGTACCACTGTAGATGCACGGATCAAGGTTTCTCCAATGAGATTTTCTGGAAATGAGCAGCACAAGCCTGAACACGTTTACTCAGAAGTAAGTCCCTCTAAATTCAGTGGGGCTTCCTGCCCAGGAATTTGGTTAAGGATTTGCCCCGGTAGGCCAGCTTCCCTTCCTGGTTTCTGGCCTCTTATGCTTTTCCCATAGTCTTCGTGTGTGTTTCTTTTTCAGAACGGATGAAGCCACACAAGCCGGCGATTGAAAAACCACCCAAGGCAGAGACTGAAAAACCACCCAAGCCAGTGACTGGGAAACCACCCAAACCAGAGACTGAAAAACCACCCAAACCAGCAACTGGGAAACCACCCAAGCCAGCAACTGAAAAGCAAGACTGAAGAGGGAATGACGGACCTCCACAGTCCCATCTTCTCCAACACTGGCAGTAACATCCCTCTGACTGTCAAGGCACGCCATGTTATTTTGTTAATGCAATAAAGCTTGTTTGGATCAGAACATCTGAGTTTAAGGATTTTATTTTCAAGCGAATGATGTCTAAGAGGCATTGGAAAAATGCATTTTTTATTTATTTGCATTCGCATATTGCTAGGAAGGTCTCTCTGTGCCACTCTGTGGGCTAGTGGGCTTTTGATGTGCTGAATTTTAATTCTCTTCTTTAAACAACACAGCCAAACTAGACATGGCGGCCTGAGACCCAACTGGGATAATTCAAAGGGGAAGTGCAGCTTGTGTTGTAACTGTGACAATAGAAAGGAGGGAGTCCACCCTTTCCATGTCCTAATTTCCTAGATTGGATTCTAGCGCTGTCATTCCCCACAGAACTATTTGCCCTGTGGGTTAAGACCAAAAGGTGCTCTGCTATGGGGCAAACAGGTTCAAAGGAACAGTTTTCAGGCTGGGGGTAAAGATCAGCAGTAATAATAATAATAATAATAATAATAATAATAATAATAATAATTTATTTATACCCCGCCCATCTGGCTTGGTTTCCCCAGCCACTCTGGGCGGCTTCCAACAAAACACTAAAATACAGTAACCTATTAAACATTAAAAGCTTCCCTAAACAGGGCTGCCTTCAGATGTCTGCTAAAAGTTTGGTAGTTATTTTTCTCTTTGACATCTGGTGAGAGGGCGTTCCACAGGGCGGGTGCCACCGAGAAGGCCCTCTGCCTGGTTCCCTGTAACTTGGCTTCTCGTAGCGAGGGAACCTCTAAAAGGCCCTCGGTGCTGGACCTCAGTGTCCGGGTAGAATGATGGGGGTGGAGACGCTCCTTCAGGTGTACTGGACCGAGGCCGTTTAGCAGAAAGAGATAAACCTCACCTCCCCAGCCTCACAACCTGAATTCAAATACAGACCCACTCAGTTGCATTCCTCCTTAAGGAGGGAGAAAAGGAACTTTAGCCACAGATCTCCTTCTAGGACAAAGTACATGTGACTCACTGTGTGCATTGCAGAACTTAATGGAGTATATAGATCTGGGATATATTAGAGCAACCCCCTGTAGCAATTCACAAAACATAAACAGGGTTAGATTATCTTTTATTCAGAAGAACAGCTTTATTCATTTATGCCATTAAAATCTTGTCCCAGTCGGAAGACCTTCACACATATAGCTCTACGTGAAATGCTTTGTAAAGAATTTCTCACAGGCCACGTGTAAAGGAATTCTTTCAAAGCCATATCAGCTATTGTAGTTCAAAAATATATCTGTACACAGAGGTTGGAACTGATTGGTTTTTTAAATTTTGAAGCCAAACTGTTATGCATCTAGCTTAAAGAGTTCTATTCAGAATCCCAGCATTTACATTTACTTAAATGTATAATAGAAGAGTTTTCAGCAGCTTAGTATGAGTGTGTGTGTGTGTGTATATAATTCAGGTTCAATATTTTGCATGATTACACTCGAAAATGCCAGGAAAATTGCACTGCTAAATCCCCACTATTTTCCAGGTTAACAGGATTGCAAATTGATTTTATTCCGGAAACAATGAGCAGGGGAAAGGGCACTAAACTTCCACTAGATTCTATGAAGTGGCTTTTATGTTGTGTGAAATAAAGCTTGAACATGAATAGGTAAGGAAGGAATCATTGGGGAGATGGAATAAAGTGTGGGAACTGCCTGCACAACTCTAAATACAGCGTTGGGTACTGGTTTACAAAGCCCTATACAGTTTGGAGCCAGGATACCTGAAAGATTGTCTCATCCTTTATGCACCCAAACAATCACTGCGTTCAGGTGGTCCGTTCAATCAAGCCTTTAAGTGAAGCAGCATCTATGAACATCCCTTCTGGCAAGCACTGTTTTGACTGGTGTGGTGTTTTGTTTTGTTTTAGTTTCAACAGATATTCCTTTTCCAACAAACCTGATAAGTGGCTATTTTTGTCTGTATCTGTATCGGATTAGAAAATGTTTTCAACGTACGCTTTTTTTTAGTTTTCATTTATTTATTGTTAAATTGCTTTGGAACGTTTCCTGGGAAGAGATTAATAAATGAAACAAACAACCGAGCAAAAAAAATATGCCGCAATTTGCATTTGCTCTCCTCCCTTTCCTGCTAATATTCCCTACTGCAACTTTTGTTATTCATGGTTTTTCATCCCCATTAATCCATCAATAGGTTGCATCATCCTTTTAGGAGGAAGCCCTGTTCCCCTCCCCCCCACCTTGCCATCCCATTGCCATGACAACCACAAGAGTCCAAGCTGGAGGAATTTACAGTATGGCAACCAGGAGAGGCGGTTACTATGGCAACCATTGGCGTGGAAGTAGAGAGGAGATGGCTGTGCTAGGCCTCACTAACCAAGGAAAGGGCTTGGGGAGTTGCTAGCTGTTTCCCTCCTCCTTCCTGCAGGGCCCCGTGCCAGAAGATTTGCATTACAATTCAGAAATTCAACAGGTGAAACTTTCCTTCCATTGGCACAACCCTGTGCCAGGATAAGATGCACCTGTTTGATTTCTACCTGTCACACATAGGCAACTTGCTAGAAAAGAGGTGGCCAGACTAACTGGGGACTCCTGAGTTCTTCCAGAGGTGTTTTCTATATATTCTTTATAAAATAAAAGAGCAAGGATTCCTGGGTACTTTGTGGAAAACGAGGTCATCTCTAGAAAATGTATTTACCTGCATCTGCTCGCTGTGGATAGATGTGTCTCCATGGAGACTCCTAGTATCCTTGTTGACTTGGCTTGGGTTTTACCCTTGAGCGGACAGTGAAACAGCAAATGCTTTTAAATCTTAGGCGCCATAACCTGTTACTCCCCACAGTTGATTTTTTTATTATTATTTGTATCCCAACTTTCAGGATACAAATGTTTCTAAGTGAATTACATAAAAAAAAATATATTAACCCATAATAAAAAACATCAACATATTAAAATCCTTGTTGATAGGTGGGAACTTGAGGCAATGTGGTGTAGTGGTTAGGGTGTCAAGACTAGGGTTCGAATCTCCACTTGGCTATGAAGCTCAATGGGTGTCCTTGTGCCAATTACTGCCTCTCAGCCTGACCTGCCTCATAGATTTTCCTAGTCATTGTGTGTGTGTGTGTGTGTGTTGAAAATAAAAAGCTCAACAATTTTGGGGTCTTCCTTAGGAAAGCTCAACAACTTTCGTTTTCCGGGTGTCCTGGAGTGTTCGCTTCAGGTTCTGTCTCCTAATACCTTATAAATAACTTTGTGTATGTAAAGTGTTTTTGTTTCTTTTTAGAGACTTGCTGATAATGAAGAGATGGAGAGTGGTCTTGGAAATCTGAACGCCAGGAAATTACTCCTTCATAAATCTGGGATTCTTGCTGCAGGCATGAATGGATGTTGGGTGATTCATCGCAGAATCAGAAGCAATAATGCTGCTATGCTTTAGCTGCAATCCTAGACACACATCTACCTGGAAGTAAATCCTGGATAGTTCAGTTGGTGGAGCATGAGACTCTTAATCTCAGGGTACTGGGTTCAAGCCCCATGTTGGGCAAAAGATTCCTGTGTTTCAGGAGGTTGGATAGATGACCCGTGCAGTCCTTTCCAACTCTACAATTCAGTGGGGCTTACTTCTGAATAGGGATGTATAAAATTCCACCACCAAGCTAGAACCATATACAGTAGACACTTTTCTTGGGAGGAGCAACCTCGTGGAACATAAACACATCATTATTTGAGCATTTAGTTCCAGAAATGCAAATACGTTTTGTATCAAACTGCATTAAGAAATCACTAGATGAATCACACAGGGATGCCTGCCTGTGTGTGCATCTGCCGTCACTTTTAAGTTCATGTTTTGTGTTTAAAGCAATATCCTTATGCAAAGGTTGGCATAACCAGGTTGGGATAGCTGGGATAGCAGGTTTGTTGGTTTTGAATGTCTTATGTAGATTTTTTCCCCCCAATTTCGTTGTTCTGTGTGGGACAATGACAATAAAGATTATCGTATCGTAAGGCTTTGCAAATATTATCTTAAGCTTATAGGGTGGGGAAAGGAAATTAATCTTTATGTTTCTTAAAGAAAAAACACCAAAAAAGTGTACAGTTGTATCCCTAAAATTTTAGATTAAGAAATCCATTGTGTTAGAGACGGTGTGGCGTGGTGATTAGGACTGGGAGACCTGGGTTCAAATGCCTGCTAGGCCATGAAGCTCACTGGGTGACCTTGTGTCAGCCACAGCCTCTCAGCCTGACCTACCTCAAAGGGTTGTTGTGGGGGTTAAATGAGGAGGGGGAAGAGCCATGTATCCCACCTTGAGCTCCCTGGAGAAAAGGTTGGAAGTAATTGTGAGAAATTAAACAAGCAAACATTACCACTCTTCCAAAATATTAGACTAAAAAGCTGGGAGAGCGGCCTCGGGATTCTCGAAAGCGATTATACAATATTTTTTTCATGGTATGTGCGCCAAAATGTACAAGGGGAGCAAAACACCACCTCCGTCTCCCAGCTGTGGGCCTGCGGCTTCCCTAATCTCTAAATCCCCATCTGTACTTTCATTGACTCATATCCATTATATCTGCTATGCAAGGCTCCATCTCTGTCTCCAATCAACCTGTCAATCCATCCAGCTATTCGTCAATAAGTCTGTCCCCCATTCCTCCCCCACCTTGACAAGCCCTCAGGATTTTCCTTCCACCTATCTAATTCTCCATTCCTGCCTTTCTCTCCCCCCCCCGCCCCCCGCCCCACGCACCCCACTCCTTACACCCTCCCATCCTTAGTTCATTCATAAAGATCCGCAGTCCCTCTCCCGGCCAGCGCCAGGTCTTCTCACGGATCCGACTATATGCCAGCAGCTGCAAAGGGGGGACAGCCCCCTGCCATAACTGGTTTGGGGGTGGGGGGAAGGCTTAGCTCACCCCACCCACCCTGATTCATCTTGAAAGGAGATGCAGGGCAAAGCGATACGATGGCTGGGGGTCTTCGCCGCCTTGATAGCTACCGGGGCCAACTGGGAAGCAGGTGAGGGGGGCACCTGGCTGGGATGGGGTGGGAGGGGGGAAGGATGCAGAATCGTGGGGGTAGCGGGGGCGGGCGGGAAGGAATGGGATCAGAAATGGATGTGAGTGACAGGTGAAAACAGGAGAAGAAAGAAACAGATGTGGGAAAGGAGGAGGGGAACGTAAAGGGGGGTAAATATCCAGCCCATTAGAGCGGAGGAAAAAATGGGGGCGAGGGGGGGAGAGCAGGAGAACAATAAAGGAGATAAAAGGGGGCCGGAGGTTGAATGGGAAAGCATAATACGCGAGGTCCCCTAGAGCGCAGACCCGGCTCTGGTGCTAGGGAACCCGGGAGTCTCGGCACCAGCCCTTTCTGGACCCTTTGCTCTACGAACTTATAAGGCTGCCTGTTTATCATCCATCCCATTGGACCTGAAGCCGCTTTCAGCTAAATGCCAAATTGGTTCGGGGCTGGGTGAGATGAGCGTTGCAGCACTCTGTACATGCTCTTGCCCTGATTGTTATACTCGCGTTCCAAAAATGAAACCTGGCATCAAAGCACAGGCTCAGATTAATTCCTACTTTTCACCCAGAATTCTGTTCTCTGGTCTAAAACAGTAGACCCGTTCCCCCTTTTTGGATAACTTTGGACATCTTGCTTTTCACCTTCATCGGCACGACCCTGGAGACTGAAATGTTGTTAAAGGACAAAGACGTCCTGGTTTCCAGCTGTATACAGTTTCCCCAAACTGCTAGCCCTCCCTGCTTCGTATACCCACCCCTTTGGAGAGAAAAAAAAGTTGACTCTTCCCTTGCTTTGTTTCCTTCAGAGAGTAACAGCTCTGTGATAGGCAACTATTCAACAGGTGCAGTTCCTCCCCATATAGAGATACTGAGATGGTAAATGCTCTCTACCTGTTTGATCCCTGCTTTTGTGAAGCCCGCAGGAGCCCTGGGTGAGGAAAAAGAAGGTGGCAGTCCTGTTTTCTGACTACGCTTACACTTTTGCACATTGAAATGCAAAAATAACAAGAGAGGATCTTTGTTCAATATGAAATGCTGAAGTCAGGGACGCGATAAAACTTCTACGCATTAACCATGCTGGTTTGGTGCATCTGGCTGCCCCTGTTGCAAGTTTTTTCAGAAAGCCATAACATTTATTTATTTTCCAGACCCCCTCTGCCCAGCCAAGTACAAAGTCAACTGTCTGCTCCGTCAACGTCTGGGCTGCGGGCCGGAAGGAGCACCGACCTGTGGCCCTTGCTTCCCCAATTATGAGGAGGACTCTAGTGGAAACTGTGTGCAGAAGAAGGTCCCTAAGCAGGGTGAGGTCTGTGGGGAGTTGGGAGGGACCTGGGGAAGAGTCCAAGGGCTTTAGAGGGACAGCTGAATGGCTGAGAAGACTGGGAGCAGAGAGGGGATCTGTAAAAAAGGTAAAAGTAAAGGACCCCTGGACGGTTAAGTCCAGTCAAAGGCGACTATGGGGTGCAGCGCTCATCTTGCTTTCAGGCCGAGGGAGCCGGCGTACAGCTACCGGGTCATGTGGCCAGCATGACTAAGCCGCTTCTGGCGAACCAGAGCAGCGCACGGAAACGCCGTTTACCTTCCTGCCACAGTGGTACCTATTTATCTACTTGCACTGGTGTGCTTTCGAACTGCTAGGTTGGCAGGAGCTGGGACGGAGCGACAGGAGCTCACCCGTTGTCATGCAGTCATGCAGACTGTGACTAAAGGCCTGATTTTCTCTCTCAACGTCTTCTCTCTTTTTTCAGAAAGCAAAACAAAAGGCCAGAAAAAGCCCAAAGACCTGCTCGCTCTCATTCTTTCCCTCTTAGCCAAGCACGAGAAAGGGCTGAAGCCATCAGACATGGAGACCACCTGGCCTGGTAGGCGAAGCCAACAGACGCACCTCTTTTCCCAGCATACATAGGGAGCTGCCTTAGACCAAGTTAGATGATTGGTCCATCAAGCTCACTCCCAGCATTCCAGACCCACTGGCTGTGCTGATGGGAACTGGAGCCCATGAACATCTGGGAAGGTCACCGTTTAGCTTACCCCTAGTGTTGTCCTGAGGGCTAGAAACTATGACTGTCATATTTATTTAAACTTAAGGGGCTGAGAATACAACACAAAACCAGCCCAGGTGGTCATCCCACTGTTAAGTACTACATGTTTTCCCATCAGTTCCTTTTTGATAGCTCCCTGAACCACATCTCCTTACCTTTGATGATGGCTTTCTCCTGGAGATTCAGATTGGTTGTTCTGAAGGGTTTCCCTGAAGAACAGCCTCATTTGAAACAGATTGGGCCTAGTAACTGGTTTCTTGCTGATTTATTTATCTTGTTGACCATGCTCTTCCGCAGAAGTGTCTCAGGGAGCCTTTTCAGCTGTTCCACTAGGGGGTGATATAATGCAAGGGAGTAAGGGAAAAGATTTTCCAACTAATTTAAGGTGCCTCCAGACTGTCACTATTTGCTGGGTGCAAGTAGTAGTAGAAGTCTACAGCTGAAGAGCTTCTGTTGTCCTACTGTAACCTATCCACTTAATAATAATAATAATAATAATAATAATAATAATAATAATAATTTATTATTTATACCCCGCCCATCTGGCTGAGTTTCCCCAGCCATTCTGGGCGGCTCCCAATCAAGTGTTAAAAACAATACAGCATTAAATATTAAAAACTTCCCTGAACAGGGCTGCCTTCAGATGTCTTTTGAAGATAGGATAGCTGCTTATTTCCTTCACATCTGATGGGAGGGCGTTCCACAGGGCAGGCGCCACTACCGAGAAGGCCCTGTGTCTGGTTCCCTGTAACCTCACTTCTCGCAATGAGGGAACCGCCAGAAGGCCCTCGGAGCTGGATCTCAGTGTCCGGGCTGAACGATGGGGGTGGAGACGCTCCTTCAGGTATACTGGACCGAGGCCGTTTAGGGATTTAAAGGTCAGCACCAGCACTTTGAATTGTGCTCGGAAACGTACTGGGAGCCAATGCAGATCTCTCAGGACCGGTATTATGTGGTCTCAGCAGCCGCTTCCTGTCACCAGTCTAGCTGCCGCATTCTGGATTAATTGCAGTTTCCGGGTCACCTTCAAAGGTAGCCCCTTAAAACAGCAACATCAGACTTTGAGTGGTTTGGAAAGGGACGGCGCACTGAGAAATCTGGGATGAGGAAATAATTAACGGGAAGGTGCAGGTAAATAAACAGGAATTCTGGATGACTGCTCACAATATTGTATAACCTCTCTTGCAAACTAATCAGAATGAATACTTGATAAAGACCAGACAGTGCACAGGAACTTCCTCCCCTCCTCATTTCTGCATCACCACACCCTCCTCAAATCTGCTCCTGGAGGGGAGGTCAGGAGAAGTCCCAGAACAGAATATGGGTGGAGGAGAGGAGAGATTGTTCTGTTGATGAGCAGAAATGCTTGGCACAATCTAATGAGCACCAGGTTGAATGCAACCCATAGGCTCAACTCCCCTGTTAGGTCCAATCTGATGCAAACAAACTCTCCTAGCTCAGTCGGTAGAGCATGAGACTCTTAATCTCAAGGTTGTGGGTTCGAGTCCCGCATTGGGCAAAAGATTCCTGCATTGCAGGGGTTTGGACTAGAATGAACCTTGTGGGCCCTTCCAGCTTTATGAGTCTATGAATGCAACTCATTGTCTAACTTCCGCATAAGCTTTGTGCAAGTAAATCAGGACGAGAGCTCCGTAAATAAGAAGACTTTATTTATATTGACACCTTGCTTTTCAGGCAGCATGGAGGGGTTTGAACCACCCAGCTCCCCCACTTCCTTCCCCACCTCTTTCCCCCCAAACGCCTCCTACTCCGTGAGCGGCAGCCCAGCTTCTTCTGAGTCGTATGAAGACACTCCAGTCTCAGCCACCACGCCCCCCACAAGAGTGAAAGTGGATTTCAAGCAAAGGTCCCGACCTCCGGCTACAAGTCTGAACAAAGCGGTGTCGCTTAGTGAGTAGGAGCTATTCTGCCAGGATGGGGGGGTGGCGGCGGCGGCGAGGGAGACACAGGAACCAGGCTGCTTGGAGAGTGGGAATGTGGGGTGTGGCGAATGGATGGCTTTAATAGAGGGTTAGACAATATCATTGGGGTGCATGGGGTGTTAGAGGAGGGGTTGCACCTCTGTTGGGGGGGTACATCATGCTTCTTCTAGGATGGTTTGTCACCTTGCACTCAGCTCTCACCTGCAGCTCCTAGAAGCTGCCAGCATGCAACAGCAGCCACATCTGGGAACAGCTTTGAATGGCTGGCTAAACCAGTTTCTGAAGAAGTGTGCATGCACACGAAAGCGTATACCCAGAACATGCTTAGTTGGTCTCTAAGGTGCTACTGGACAATTTTTTAATTTATTTCGACTGCGTCAAACCAACATGGCTACCTACCTGAATCTGGCTAAACCAGGTGAGGGGAGCCGACGGGTCTCAAAGCCTTGGTGAGTTAGGGTCCTCCCCTGCATGCAAAGACAGGCTCCGGTGGACTGAGTGGATGAGACCAATTGTGGGTCAACCAGTCAAGAAGGCAGTTTCTGCACATGCTGTAGAGAAGAAGAAGAGGAGGAGTTTGGATTTGATATCCCGCTTTATCACTACCCTAAGGAGTCTCAAAGCAGCTAACGTTCTCCTTTCCCTTCCTCCTCCACAACAAACACTCTGTGAGGTGAGTGGGGCCGAGAGACTTCAGAGAAGTGTGACTGGCCCAAGGCCACCCAGCAGCTGCATGTGGAGGAGCGGGAAGCGAACCCGGTTCACCAGATTACGAGTCCACCTCTCTTAACCACTACAGCACACTAGAGGGGGCAGATGGGGCTCATCCACCTGGGAAAAGAGCATGGGCATAGCAGCTGCCCCCCTAGATCAAGCAAAGCAATAAAAATACTTCACTAACTTACCAATCATGCCAGTTCTGCCCCCCCCCCAACAAAAATCCTGGCTACGTCCATTATAGTCCACTGTTGGGAGGTTGGATGCTTCTGAATACCAGTACAGTGGTCCCTTGGTTCTCAAACCTAATCCATTCCGGGAGTCCATTTGACTCCTGAAACTGTTTGAAAACCAAGGCGCGGCTTCCGATTGGCTGCAAGAGCTTCCTGCACTCAAGCAGATGCTGCGTCAGACGTTCGGCTTCCGAAAAACGTTCGCAAACCGGAACACTTACTGCCGGGGTTTTGGCGTTTGGGAGCCAATTTGCTCGACAACTAAGCCGTTTGAGAACCAAGGTACCGATGTAGCTGGAAATCGCAGGAAGGGAGAGTTCTGCTGTGCTTAGGTCTCCTGTTTGCAGCTGGCCACTGTGAGAACAGGACTCTGGATCAGATGGGCCACTGGTCTGATCCTGCAGGCTCCTCTTCAGTCCTTATGTGTTTGTTTCTAGAGGTGCTCCTTTATACCTGACACTCAAAGGGTTAACTGTGGTCCTTACAGCTCTCGTGGTGATGTGCACAGTGACAGGGGTTTCCGGACTGGTAGTTGCTGCTATGTGCTGGTACAGGTAAGAAATGTCCTTCCCCCATATTTGCTATGATGATGATGATGATGTTAGCACAACAATGTCATTGGTACTTTACGAAGTTCCGCAAGCCAAAAGACCAGTCGTTGCCCCCAGTGAGATTAAAATCTAAATTCATTCAGGGATGAAGTCAGCATGCGATAGAGAGAAGCAAAAACAAGAGAAAGGAGTGAGGCCTGCAACAAAATGTTGCAGCACAGAGAGCCTTTTGTTCAGGATTCCAGCTGCTCCCTCGCCCCTGGTTCACATTCTTTTCCCCAGCAGCCAGCCTGGCTTGCACAATGGGACATTCCCTCCTCTCTCTCTCTCCCCCCCACCCCCGCCCCGGACCTCCTAAACCTGTTCTGGGATCTCCCCCAACCCTCCAGAGCGCAACTGGGGGGCGCGGTAGGTGGGGGAGTCCTGTTATACAAGCCAAACTAGTTCCATGCACACAGCAACTTACTCGAATCCTGCCCCACACATTTGAAGCACATGATTTCCCCCCAAAGAATTTTGGGAACCACAGTTTTTCAATGGTGCGGGGAATTTTTAGCCCTGCCAGGGGTGAACTGAAATTCCCAGGATTCTCTCTGGGGAGAAGCAGTGCACTTTAAATTTATGGTTTGTATGCAACCCAGCATCCAGTATTCTGTGAATACGAAGCATGTGTTGTATACATTAGAGTTGTCAGGTTCCCATCATCACAATTACATTCCCCCCTCCCTTCAAATGTACTTTGAACTCTTCCAAATCGTGGGACTCCCCCAACTCTGCTGATACATTGCTATTGTGCATGAGTGATGCATTTTTTTGCTAGGACATAATGCAAGTCCTTGATTTCTTATCACGTATCAACAATACCCAAGCATGATTCTGTAGAAAATCTATAATTTGTTGCCTTCAGACTATAATTCCTTTTGCCTATTAATGTCTGAGATCTCTGCAGGCTGTGTGTGTTTTTTCCAATTTGAGTCAGTATACGCAAGTTTATATGCAGTTTGTACGTAATTAATTGCATTAGCTTTTAAATGTTGAGCATTCATGTGAGGAATTGCCTTTGTTTTTATAGCTCCTTTGAATAATAATTGACCCAAACAAGCTAGACTGTTTTGAAAACCAAATTCTCCAGTGTTTTTTTGCAGCACCTTGAGAAACAGTTGCTTTGGGGGTGTTTTTTTGCTAGATAGCCATCGGCACTCACAACACTGAGCGTTTGAAATAAAGGGAATGAGATTAGATAGGTGAAAACACGGTTACGTAGGGTTGGCTTCCATAGGGGATGATGAAACAGTTCTGAGACAAAAGGTTTTGTGAAAGAGATGAAGCAACAGAGAAAATGCGTACAGCAACAGAAGGCCAGAAGAGAGAGGAAGGAAGGTAGCCTTATCAGAGCTTGCTTCTTCAAATGTTTTTAATTATTATGTTTTTAACTGTCCTACCTGTCAGGGTTGCATACATTGCCTCCCCCACCCTACCCCCAGATTATCCTAGTAGGACCCTTTGAGGTAGATTAGAGCCTTCATGTGGTTGGCCAATTTTAGGGGGTTCGGCTAGAGGATATCTGGGGTCCCTTCCAACTCTACAATTCTATGATTCTACGACTGAGTGGGGATTTGAATTTACATCTTTCTAGCCAAAGAGCGAGGGACGCGGCTGGCACTGTGGGTTAAACCACAGAGCCTAGGACTTGCCGATCAGAAGGTCGGCGGTTTGAATCCCCGCGACGGGGTGAGCTCCCGTTGCTTGGTCCCTGCTCCTGCCAACCTAGCAGTTCGAAAGCACATCAAAGTGCAAGTAGATAAATAGGTACCGCTCTGGCGGGAAGGTAAACGGCGTTTCCGTGCGCTGCTCTGGTTCGCCAGAAGCGGCTTAGTCATGCTGGCCACATGACCCGGAAGCTGTACGCCGGCTCCCTCGGCCAGTAAAGTGAGATGAGCGCCGCAACCCCACGACTGGACCTAATGGTCAGGGGTCCCTTTACCTTTACCTAGCCAAAGAGCAGTGATTTAGCCATCACTCCACCTTGGGGCAGGGGGTCACACACGATATCTAGAAGTCTTTTTTCTTTTTGCAAAAGATATCGGCCATTTCTTTCACTCTGTACATGCCCCAGTGCACTCTTTTTAAAAAAAATCGTACTCTTGCCAATCTGATCTCAAAAGGCCCATATGCTACAAGCAAAATGTCTCCCTACCACCCCACTCCACACAGAAGGAAATGTGGCCTGCCCGGGTTTAAAAAGCAGGAATATGAAAACGACGCAGGGAGGCTGTTCTCACGAGAGCTTTTGTGGTGATGCTGTAAACATGTGCCAAAACTCAAATTGCGGACTGTGGGGTTGTTTGCTTGCCATGCTTAAAATAAATCATCATACGATTCATTTCCAGGCTACAGAAGGAAGTACACTTGACTCAGAAGATGGCATATGCAGGCAGCCGGGGAAACCAATACCGATATCACCAGCCCAGCGCAGTATGTGACTTTGCCATTGGTTTAATGCTCACTTGGGGTGGGAGGTGCTGGGGCCCCCTGCCCCCCTGACAGCCCTCAGATCATCACTTTAGAACCCAAGGGGGACATCCAGAGAACCTGAACGGGGGGGGGGGGGGGGATTCAGGGGCAAGCGAAAGCCTGCAATTCTTTAAACCCAGTTAAACTTTGGAACTCACTGCCACAAGATGCAGCGGCCACCAACTAACTCACCACCCTGAGAGCTATATAATACCCCTCGTATTGGGAGCAGTATATGCCAGTGAGCTTCCCAGCATCAGTTCAGCTACTGTGGGAAATAATAATAATAATAATAATAATAATAATAATTTATTTATACCCCGCCCATCTGGCTGGGTTTCCCCAGCCACTCTGGGCGGCTTCCAACTGAATATTAAAAACAACACAGCATCAGATATTAAAAACTCCCCTAAACAGTTGTCTTTTAAAAGTAAAATAGTTGTTTATTGCCTTGACATCTGGTGGGAGGGCGTTCCACAGGGCAGGCGCCACTACCAAGAAGGCCCTCTGCCTGGTTCCCTGTAACTTGGCTTCTCACAGGGAGGGAACCGCCAGAAGGCCCTCAGCACTGGACCTCAGTGTCCAGGCAGAACGATGGGGGTGGAGACGCTCCTTCAGGTATACTGGGCCGAGGCTGTTTAGGGCTTTAAAGCTCAGCACCAGCACTTTGAGTTGTGCTCAGAAATGGGAAGCTGTGCTAAATAAGCCTTTGTTTTGGTCCAAGCTGGGCTAGTCTTACATTCTCTCTACTCCCCTCTAGTACATGGACTCCCGACTAGCTCAGTCGTGCCAAGTCCACCACTATCAACATCAGAAGAAGCTTCTCACCACAACCAGTGAGGAGTAAGTGTGCTCTTTTCCACATCTCTCCATGGGAGTGGGAAGGTGGGGGCAAGCAGCAGAAAGGGGCTGCTTAAAGGCTCTCTGGTGAAACTTTCAGTCCCTTGAAAGCAGCTGGAAGAACCCCCCCCCCCAAGCCTGGGGCCATTGCAGATGTTTTGCTGGGTGGGGCGGGTGAAAGTTGCCATTCAAAACTTCTGGCTGGATAAATTTCACACTGACTGTCTTTTCAGGCTCAAGGCATAGTCCTGATTATTCTCCCCTGTCTTTTTAATCACTTTTTAAAAGTGATTTAACTGTTTTAACTTTGTTGGGTTTCCCCCACTTTAATCTCTGTTTCCTTCAATTTGTTCCCAATCTTATTATTATTATTAAATGCATTCATTTGGTTATTCAAATTATAATTTTACAGAAATATACCAAACATAGATCATAAAAACAAGATTCTCCCATCCTCCCCTTTGTGGGTCCTGTTATTTATCATTTCCGTCTGCTTCTTTTATGGTAGTCCAAATCTTTTACCTCTCCATTGTATCCAGAATTCACCCTTAAACTACAAGTGATATTCCAATCCTGCTAACGATTTTAACTGTTTGCAATGGTCTTTAAAATAAGTTACAAATTTTCCCTAATTTGTTCCCAGGCTTAACTGATGTCATTTTTCCTTTTTATCACACTGGATATTGTATATTTTATCTTGTCAGCTGCTCAGAGAACTTCTTTGTAGCCTGTGGGGTAGCTCAGTCGGTAGAGCACAAGACTCTTAATCTCAAGGTTGTGGGTTTGAACCCCACGTTAGGTGAAATATTTCCGCATTTCAGGGGGTTGAACCAGTTCATCTTTGGGGTCCCTTCCAACTCTACCATTCTGTGATCTCATCAACACAAAGATGTCTTTCTTTTTTCTGACCCTAATCCTACACTAGACTACGCTACGCCGAAATCTTTAAATGTTTCTTTGATTGTCCTTGAATCTTCCCACCCCATCCTTTCCTGCCACACCACAAGAGTAAATCCAGGAGCCAGGGGGGTGGGGAGGATATATTTTTGGAAAGCGGCTGGAACCTCTAGCAGTGTTGTCCAAACCTTTTTCTTTCTTTTTTTTATATATTTTTGTTAGATTTTTAATATATCATTTTCAACAGTCGTTCAACATAGGTCACATCTTATACAATTTTTTGGACTTCAACCACATCTGAAAATTTTCCAGTTTTTTTTCACTTAATTTACATTTCTTAATTTCACTATTGCTTTTAATTATCTACTAACTCTCTCATCATAACCTTCCTTATAATATTTCATATATTCCTCCTTACAAAACTTCTTGCAGCCCTACAAGCGTAATCTGTTGATTACAGTTACTTTTCAAACAGTTCGCATATTTATTCCAGTCTTCTGAGAATCTCTGGTCCCGCAGGTTTCGAATCCTTCCTGTCATCTTATCTAATTCTGCATAGTCGGTGTCCAAACTTTTTTCAAAGAGGGCCAGATTTGATGAAGTGAAGGGCCGTAAGGGCCAGCCAAAGTTGTTGATCTTTTTTCAGGATTGAAGTTGTGGAGCTTTTTTTAGGGTCGAAATTCTTGAGCTTCTTTTAGAATTGAAGTTGTTGAGGTGTTGTTTTTTTTAGGATTTTAGCCCAAGAAATAAACAGCCACAGGGGCTGGATTGAACCTACCAGCAGGCTGGACTAGGCCCCTAAAACGGATTTTTGGACACACCTGCCTAGGGGTTTCCATCTCCTGAGGTCCCTCATCTCACACGGTTGCCTCCTTCCTTCAGCAGAGAAGCCCCCAAACCAGTAGAACAGCTCTCCACAGAGTCAGAGACTGAGAATGGAGATTACACCGTGTACGAGTGTCCGGGGCTGGCGCCGGTATGTATGGCAAGAGCCCAGGTTCAGTTTCTTGGCATCTCCAGGTAAGGCCAGTGTTGGCAGTCCTGGCCTAGACGACCCGATGATCTGCCTCCTTATAAGGCACCTTCCTGTGTGATTTGGAATGCTTCTATGTGTGGTGTGTGAAGAGCCAACCCAGGGAATTTTGCTGCCGGGGGCAGAAACCCTGGCGCCACCCCTGCCCTCCTGCTCCTTGCTGCCACACGGCGCCTGACATTCACCTCTGCAGGGCACTCACCTCAGCCAGGTGCTTGCTGCTGCCTGCTCCTGGACCCTGGTGGCAGTGGGGCAGTCCTTTAAAAGGCAAAAAAAGTAAAGGTAAAGGACTCCTGGACAGTTAAGTCTAGTCAAAGGCAACTATGGGGTTGGGGGTGCTCATCTTGCTTTCAGGCCGAGGGAGCTGGCGTTTGTCCACAGACAGCTTTCTGTGTCATGACTAAACCACTTCTGGTGCAACGTGACAGAAGCCAGAGCGCACAGAAACGCCGTTTATCTTCCCACCGGAGCGGTACCTATTTATCTACTTGCACTGGCGTGCTTTTGAACTGCTAGGTTGGCAGGAGCTGGGACAGAGTGACAGGAGCTCACTCCGTCGCACAGATTCGAACCGCTGACCTTCTGATCAGCAAGCCCAAGAGGCTCAGTGGTTTAGACCACATCGCCAAACACGATCACCCCTGAGATGCCCAGAAGAAGGCAAGCAGGAGGAAGATGGCCGCCATAGGGCAAGTAGAGGAGCAAGCTGTTGCAGCTGCTGGGGTTGAGGAGCAGGAGGCAGCAAGTACCTGGCAGAGGTGAACGCTGGGCTCTGGGCACCAGTCGTGCAGCAGTGAGGAGAGGAAGTGGCAGTGGGGGTACCAGCTCTGCTTGAGGGGTACAGGGTGTGGTGTTGCTGCTGCCGGTGGCAAGGCGGGGGGGGGGTGCAGCTCCTGCCCCCACCCCAAACCAAGCTCTTCCACTTCTCTCCTCTTCCTCTCAGGGTGACACCCTGAAGCAGCTGGCTTCAGGCTGCTTCACGGACGGGCTGGCCGTGGGTGTGTGTTTTGTATTGGTGCATGAACCTGTCCTCAGAATACCCTTACGCCTTTTCACCGAGAAAAAAGAGAAATAATCCAGCATAGAAGAGAAAGAAACGATCTAGTATAGTGTGGGTGGGAAATGGTTTACCTTGGCTGCAGTGGTCAAAATTAAGGCAGTGGAGTTTTGCCCCAGCTGAAGCTTCCATGTCATCTCTGAGGGCAGCCCCATGTATAACACATTGCAGTAATCTAGCCCGGACGTTACCAGAGGCATGAACCACATCAACAAGGTGAGATTCATTTATTGAAGGTGGTGAAAGGCACTTCAGCAATGCTGGTTCGATACCTGCTCTTTCACGGTGTGCATACTCTTATCTAAAGGTAAAGGGACCCCTGACCATTAGGCCCAGTCGTAACAGACTCTGGGGTTGCGGCGCTTTATTGGCCGAGGGAGCCGGCATACAGCTTCCGGGTCATGTGGCCAGCATGACTAAGCCGCTTCTGGCGAATCAGAGCAGCGCACGGAAACGCCACTTACCTTCCCGCCGGAGCGGTACCTATTTCTCTACTTGCACTTTGACGTGCTTTCGAACTGCTAGGTTGGCAGGAGCTGGGACAGAGCAAAGGGAGTTCACCCCGTCGCGGGGATTCGAACCACCGACCTTCTGATCGGCAAGTCCTAGGCTCTGTGGTTTAACCCACAGCGCCATCCGCGTCCCTCTTACCTACAACTAGTCAAATGTCAATTTCCCGGACAAGAGAACTACCTACCCCCAGTGCCTCCATTTTGTCAGAATTCAGTTTTGGTTGATTGGCCCTCACATTGCCGCGTCCAGGCATAAATTTTAACACCTGTCTCAGGTGACAAAGAGAAACAGAACAGTGGCATATTGAGGGCACCCCACACCAGTGGGGAGACTGTGGCTCTCCAGATATCCTCATCCCTGAGAACTGGCTGTGGTAAGTGGGGCTGAGGGGGGCAGGAGTCCAAGAACATCTGCAGAGCCACAGGTTCCCCACCCAGTTAAAGAGTGTGAAGGGCAAAATGAAACTTTGCAGAGCTCTATAGCATAGGCTGGGACGCGGGTGGCGCTGTGGGTTAAACCACAAAGCCTAGGGCTTGCCGACCAGAAGGTCAGCGGTTCGAATCCCCATGACGGGGTGAGCTCCCATTGCTCGGTCCCTGCTCCTGCCAACCTAGCAGTTCGAAAGCACGTCAAAGTGCAAGGAGATAAATAGGTACTGCTCTGGCGGGAAAGTAAATGGCGTTTCCGTATGCTGCTCTGGTTCGCCAGAAACAGCTTAGTCATGCTGGTCACATGACCCGGAAGCTGTATGCCGGCTCCCTCGGCCAGTAAAGCGAGATGAGCGCCACAATCCCAGAGTCGTCCGTGACTGGACCTAACGGTCAGGGGTCCCTTTACCTATAGCATAGGTTAAATAAGGTTGAGCAGCAAACTCCCAATGTTACTTTCTGAAACCAATCCTGTACAGTGGCACCTTGGTTTAAGAACAGTCCGGTTTAAGAACGATTTGGTTTACAAACTCCGCAAAACCGGAAATAGTGTCTTGGTTTGAGAACTTGACCTTGGTCTATGAACAGAATCTGAACGGTGGAAGGGCACCGGCGGCGGGAGGCCTCATTAGGGAAAGTGTGCCTTGGTTTAAGAACGGCTTTGTTTTAAGAACGGACTTCCGGAACAGATTAAGTTCGTAAACCGAGGTACCACTGTAGATGGGAGTGGGACCACTGCACCCCCTGCTCCAGCCCACACAGCAGATCCAGTAGGAGATCGTGGTTCGACCTCAGAGAGGAGATTGAAGATAAAGCAATCATGCTTGCACTGCCTATCTCTCTTGTGCAAGAGGTCACGCACAGGGCAGTTCTGGTGCCACCCCTTGACCTGAACCTGAATTGAAATGTCTAGAGATATCTATCTTCCAATTGTGCCTGGAGCCAGACACCCGCAATCTTCTTGAACACCTCACCTGCAAAAAACAAAACCAAAACAGGCTATTGGGAACAGGGTGGTTACAATTTTCTGAATTCAGGGTGGGTTTCTTAAGAAGTGGCCACACAGCTGCCTCTTTCAAGTAGGCCAGGACCTCACCCTCTTGGGATGTGGCATTTATTATCTCCGGGATCTACTCAGCCAATCGCTTTGGGCTAGCTGCAATTAGCCAAGGTGGGCAAGGGTCAGAAAGGGTCAAGTTGCCAGCCAAACGCACCATGTCCGCACCGACTGAAACCGATGCCGTAAACTCAGACTAGACTTCATATTACATACCTGCACAGGAATTATACCAGGACAGGCACAGAGGTCAGAGGGGATATGATTCTGTTGCACGTGTGGGTTGGCCGCTGGGAATTTGGTTCCTTTCCTTTTCCAAGAATGCTTTGATTAACAACTCCCCCTCTTCTCTTTCTGCAGAGTGGAGAGATGGAGATCCACAACCCACTCTTTGATACCTCCACATTAAACCGATGCCCTCCTTAAGCGCATATCTCCTCTCTCTCTCTCTCTCTCTCTCTCTCTCTCTCTCTCTCTCCTTTCTCTTCTCATCCACATCTCCAACTCCTGGATTAATAGAGGGATGATGCAGCTTCAGATTCATAAACAAAAACAAAAACAACCCACTCCCATTAGATTGTCCACCTTTCCTCTTTAAAGAAAGGGAGCTTTGGTATGACTCACCCATCACACACACACACACACACACACACACACACACACACACACACCATCCCACCTTCATCTTCTGGGAATGGTTCAAAAGGGGGGAAACCGTCGTTAGGATCTATATTTTTTAGAAAATATAGATCATCTTCAAATCCACATCTAGAGTCTCTGGTATTTCTGTCTTTGCTAGAAAACCCTTTTTTTCAAGCTCTCCTGATTCTATCTGCCTGGAAGCATTTAGCCTACAAAGCTGTGCAAGCCAGGGGAGAAACAAGGCTTTATTTCACCCGGGTCAAAGGCCCAGTTTGGCATACCCACACATTTGCGCGCACACAGAGACTGAGAGACTGAATAGCTCCCCTCTGGAGGCTTCACCCTGGGCAAAAAACCTGGCTAGCCCTCCTGTAGCTATGGCTCTGTGTAACGCATACCCTCATTTGAGTTGACGCCATGGACGTCACTTCATTTCTTTATAGAGCGTACCAATTGCTTTTTCCCCTTTACCCAACCCCAAGTGATGTACAGTGTTAACAGGTCGCACTCAGCGGAACCTGAAGCAACAGCATCGGAATCGTTATCGCTGCCCAACGTAACAGTGGCAAACATTACAGGAAAAGTAAGAGGAAAAGAGCATTGGCAGGAAGAGAAGACACCCGGTAGGTCTTCGTGGAGAGACTGTTCCCTACTTACGGTGCCACTGCTGAAAAGGCCCGGCTCCATATCCTTAAATCTCATCTCTGCGTGGACTATAGAATCCTGGGCTCAAGCTCCTTTCCCCAGATGTGCATGCGTGTCACCATGTTTATATGACTACCTAATTCCGTGTCTATCAACGATGTGGAATCTGCACATGTAAGAAGCTTGCACGACCTTCTCTGCCCGACTTCGAATTGCCTCTTGCTAATTATGCCTTTCCCGCCTTCTGGTCTTGTGGCTGCCTATGCTCCAGAAGCCGAACATGGGTTGGGATCCGTGCACTGTATGTAATAGCGCTGTACCTGTGTCTCAGTCAAATGTGTTGTTCTATTTACTTACTCCGCAGCAAGTGACCTGGCTCACTTGCTCGAGTCGCTCGTAGCCGCAACGGTGCTCGTTCGCAACTGCTCTCTGCTTGTGAGTTATGTGGGTTGGGGGAGAACGGACGGGCAGTGTATTGTGTCGACAAATAACCACAACACATAGCATCTTTGTACAGTGCTTTTCCCAGTGTGCTGAAAAGACTTCAGCTTTATGCATCCTGTCGGTAGCCTTAACTACAACCCTCCTGTGGAGTCCAGCATTACTATCCCCATTTTACAGATCTGGGCTCTCAAAGGTAGAGAGAGAAGTGAGCTTGCCTGAGAACACTCATTGATTTCATGGCAGCACTGAGATCTGAGCAAAAGGCTTCCAGCTCACCTGTGCTCTGTATGGTTGCCATACGTCCGGAATTGCATGGACATGTCCAGAAAACTGCAGTTAGCAGCAGTGTCCAGGTGGAAATTGGCAAATGTCTGGGATAATCTGGACGTATGGCAACCCATGTCTGCAGTGTCGTTTTTGCCAATTTCCCATTAAAATAGCTCAAATATCCTCAACAACTTTGGCCAAAAAAAGCTCAGCAACTTTTCTGTCTGGATTTAACCCTATCCTAGACCAGCCTACCTGGTGATTTCCAGCTGTTTTGGACTACAACTCCCATCTGTGCTGGCTGGGTCTGATGGAAGTTGTAGCCCAAAACATCTGGAGGGCACCAGGTTGGAAAAGCCTAGTCTAGAGCCACGCAGGTATGTGGCTTTGCACAGTGGCTTCTAACCAGCTGGCAGCCACAGTACAAGCCCCCAAATGGATGAGGACCTCCTGGAATTCAACCAGCAAATTCAGTCTTACTGCATGACAATAATTGAGTCCTGCAAAATACAGTGGTACCTCTAGTTACGAACTTAATTCGTTCCGGAGCTCCGTTCTTAACCTGAAACTGTTCTTAACCAGAGGCAGGCTTTCGCTAATGGGGCCTCTTGCTGCCGCTGCGCTGCTGGCACACAATTTCCGTTCTCATCCTGGGGCAAAGTTCTCAACTTGAGGTAACTCTTCCAGGTTAGCGGAGTTTGTAACCTGAAGCATCTGTAACCTGAGGTGTTTGTAACTCGAGGTACCAATGTACAGTGGTACCTCAGGTTACATACGCTTCAGGTTACATATGCTTCAGGTTACAGACTCCACTAACCCATAATAGTGCTTCAGGTTAAGAACTTTGCTTCAGGATGAGAACAGAAATCGTGCTCCGTCGGCACGGCGGTAGCGGGAGGCCCCATTTGCTAAAGTGGTGCTTCAGGTTAAGAACAGTTTCAGGTTAAGAACGGACCTCCGGAACGAATTAAGTACTTAACCTGAGGTACCACTGTACACCAAACCGGTGGTTCTCAATCAGTCTCCAGGGGAATCGCAGCTTTGGAAACTAGACAGTAATGTCAGGCAAGCTTCAACAGGGGATGGGTACATTTTAAACACATTGGCTGACTCATCTGTGAAGTCACATCACCTTTTTCTTACTTCCAAAGCATCCCTTCTCCTGATTCCTGCCTGGCAATAGCTAAGGATTACTAACAAACAGAATGGAAAGTGAGAGCTGAGTTATGCCTTGGTTGAGCCCAAACTATGGCCTACCGTTCATGAGCAAGCGTGCTAGTGCACCGGGGGGCGGGGGGCGGGTCACAGCTGCTTTGCTCCTGCTGCTCCTGAGCTACCAGGAGATAAACTATGGTTTAGTGTTGCATTTGAATCCAGGTTCATGATCCAACCACGTCCCTATTTTCCTGGGACAGTCCTGGATTTACAGAAGCCACCCTGGTTTCTGATTCGATCCTGGAATGTCCCGTTTGTCCTTAGGGTTTCCCTATTTTCATCGGAGAAATGTTGGAGGGTATGGAGTTGTGCGATCCAGGAGCCAAGGAGATAGAAGTTTTTGAGTGCTTAATGTTTTATTATTATTTTTATATATGCTGGAAGCTGGCCGGAGTGGCTGGGGCAAACCAGTCAGATGGGCAGAGTTTAAATAATAAAATTATTATTGTTATGGAATGGGATGTCCCTATTTTCATCAGAGAAATGTTGGGAGGGTATGGTCCCCCCCATGGTAGGTCAAAGAATAAACCTTGGTTATATCTTGTGGATCGTCTGGGGTGAGAAAACTGAAAAGCCTGGGACAGTGGAACCTCAGTTTTCAAACTTAATCCATTCCAGAAGACCGTTCGGCTTCCGAAAAGTTTGAAAACTGAGGATCGATGGGCTGGCTGCAAAATCAATGGGAAAAAATGAAAAACGCAGCTCAGAAGTCCTTCAAAATTCGTTCGAAAACCAAAGCAGTTAGTTCCATGTTTTCAGCATTCGGGAGCCAAAACGTTCCAAAACAGAGGTTTGACTGTAACACTAAGCCAAACTATGGTTAACTCTCGATAGTATGGCAGCAGCAGGGGTGGGGGAGGAACGAAGCAGCCATGGTCTTCCCCTCCTAGTTTACCAGCAAGTTTGCTCCTTCATGGTAAGCCATAATTTGGCTTCCCATGATCTGTCAGTCAGGCCTTAAGCAACCCTAAGACACCACATCAAAATGACTAATCTGTAGTACAGAAGCCTATCCAAATTCTCAAACACCCACAGCATGTCTGTTTCTTTGGCTCTTCAGCCAAATAAAAAAGGTCCCAGAGGAGTTTATATGTCTCACAATACAACAATACCCATCTCTATAAAGGAGAAAGCTCAGCCTCAGGGTACAAACTTCTCATGTGCTCACCTGCTCTTATTTTCTGGTACCTCATGAAGTGGACTCCCTGGTCCACAAAGGCTTTTACCGTAATAAATTTATTAGTCTTCAGTGTGCCACAGGACTCTTTGTTATTTCTGGTGCAAACGCTAGCTCTTCCCCGCCACCCCAGCTGTTGTTGTTTAGTCGTTTAGTCGTGTCCGACTCTTCGTGACCCCATGGACCAGAGCACGCCAGGCCCTCCTGTCTTCCACTGCCTCCCGCAGTTTGGTCAAACTCATGCTGGTAGCTTCGAGAACACTGTCCAACCATCTTGTCCTCCGTCGTCCCCTTCTCCTTGTGCCCTCCATCTTTCCCAACATCAGGGTCTTTTCCAGGGAGTCTTCTCTTCTCATGAGGTGGCCAAAGTATTGGAGCCTCAGCTTCAGGATCTGTCCTTCCAGTGAGCACTCAGGGCTGATTTCCTTCAGAATGGAGAGGTTTGATCTTCTTGCAGTCCATGGGACTCTCAAGAGTCTCCTCCAGCACCATAATAGGGGTCTCCTCCAGCACCTAGTAGGGGCTAAAATGTTGTTACGGTCGACATTGTTCAGATTTGAGCTGTTCCCCCTCAGTAACATGAGGGTAAACATCTCGGCACCGTGCCATGAGGAGACTGCCATTGCGCGTACTGCATCTGATGAAATAACAAATAAACTTGGTTTGCCCATAAAGGTAAAGGGACCCCTGACCATTAGGTCCAGTTGTGGCCGACTCTGGGGTTGCAGCGCTCATCTCGCTTTACTGGCCGAGGGAGCCGGCGTACAGCTTCCGGGTCATGTGGCCAGCATGACTAAGCCGCTTCTGGCGAACCAGAGCAGCGCATGGAAATGCCGTTTACCTTCCTGCCGGAGCGGTACCTATTTATCTACTTGCACTTTGACGTGCTTTCGAACTGCTAGGTTGGCAGGAGCAGGGACCGAGCAACGGGAGCTCACCCCGTCACGGGGATTTGAACTGCCAACCTTCTGATCGGCAAGTCCTAGGCTCTGTGGTTTAACCCACAGCGCCACCTGCGTCCCTGGTTTGCCCATAG